GGGATGAGGAACGCAGCTGGCCAGGAAGGGAAGGCTGGGCTGCGGGAGAGAAGTCTATTTCTCAGCAGCCTCATGCTGCGATGGCCAGGTTATAGATCTTAATAACAGGCCGGAACAGTGATGGAGCCTCACTGCCCCTACTGCCGCTCGTCCTGCAGCTATTTTCAGTGGCGGGCTCGGCTGCACGCCACCTGGGAGGGATGTGATGGATGGCCACAGCCTTCAATTGAGTCATAAGCCTAGGTAAGAGCCCATCAAAGGAACAGATGGTCTCAGCTCCCACCTCCCAGCACCAGCCACGGCCGTTCCTCCTCGCAGTGGCCTGGCCCACCTGAGGGCTATTTCTGACCAGCGCTGCCCTGGGATGAATGGGAGGGGAAACCAGGCACCAATCCCTGGACCGTGCCCGGCTGCAGCGAGTGCTGAGAGGACTCAGACCCCCGGAGGTCCGGCTGCTGAGGGAGCTGCCTGACTGGGCCAAACTGCAAAGGGAAGTGGGCAAACAGGTGTGACTGGGAAGTGCCCCCAGCCGCTGGCAGAGCAAAGAACCACCAACAGCTCCCGCCTGCCACCAACTGGCAGGGGCACCGAGTCCCTCTCTAGCGTGCCGGGGATGTTACAGCCGGCTGGCAGGTTCAGCATGTCCGAGACCTGCACAGGAGAAGAGCAGACCCTCAGTGAGAGAGGCAGTAGCAGGGCCGGGTGCTGCTGATGCCTGCCCACTTACTGCTCCACCCCCAGGTCAATGGGGGGCAGGCCGTGGCCGTGGCTCCGCTCTCTGGTCCAGGGGAGACGCTGTGTCATTCTGCACTGAGACAGGAGGGAGAGTAACTGGGGGAACGTCCCGGCCTGGGGAGGGGCCATATCAGAACTGCTCCCGAGCCTTCAGCACTAGGTGGCGTCTCCCCACCACAGACAAGCGGCACTGCCAGGGGGACATGTCCTGCTCTCGCACTGCGGGGCGCAGACCGGACTCCACGCTGCCTCGCGCTGCCTGAGAGCCGGGGGAGAGGAACAGGCCGCCTTCCCCAGAGCCTTGGCTTGGGCAGAGCCCAGCTTCTCCTGCCTCCCCACGCTATTCGCCTATTGTCACTCCTCGGACAGGCCCAGTAAGCCTGCCAGAGAGGGACCTCAGGAGATCTGGGTTCTAATTCCTGACTCTGCCTCGGGATACCTTGGGCACGTCCCCGGGGCCTCAGTTCCCTGTCTGTGAAATGGGGCTCTGGTACACCCCCCGCTCCCGCCTCATGGCGGGGGGGCGTCTATAAATGCACACAAGGTGCCCAGATACCACAGTGAGGGACCTCTGGAAAAGGCTATCAGCAAAGATGAAGCCCTGGAGCTGTCCTGGAACTGTGGCCTGGTGCCTTCTGCTGCACAGGGCTGAGCTCCCTAGCAAGGGAAGGGCACGATTGCTCATTGTGTCTCGGATCTCGCCGGTGCGCCGCTCGAAGAGAATCGGCTCAGCGGTTTATGCTGCATGGCATGAAAGGCTGCAAAGCCATGTCCCCCCGGCCGCCTTGTTCATCGGCCCCAGAGTGTGTCATCCTTGGCCAGAGAAGGAGCTCTGGTATTTTTACACTCCTCGGCGTTAGCTCCAGGAGGGCGCTGTCCCTTCTCAGCCCAGGCCTGGTGCCAGAGACGCCACGCCCTGCTGCAGCTGCACATGTGCCGCATACGGTTCTGAAACACACCTGGCACTTTCCTGGAGAACCTGAAAACACTGCTCCCAAGGGGGCTGCCGGGGGAGGAAGAATTAGACCAACAAGCTCCATTAGGCTAGATCTATTATTGATGGGGCTGCTGCAGGAATTGCTTTGTTCGTGCCTTTGCTTGAGGCAAGTATTCAGGGAACATTCCCTAGGACGGTAACTTCCACTTGTGTTAGGAGCCTTCTGCTTGGACTCAGGCACAGCCCAGGCCCGAGGTGGGGACCTCAAAGCACCCGGTCTGCAGTGCAGGAACCTCCCATGCCTGGGGATGGAGCCTGGAGAAGCAATCAGGAGTCTGGCTGCCGCCGGTCCCCCGGGAGTCTGGAAAACTGAACACGTTCCCTGCAGAGATTTCACAAGCGTCCTGCTTCTGGGCAGCACCGCGAGCTGCTCCTTTCTTGCCGAGTTTTGGATCATGTGTTTCCAGGCACACGCAGGACATGCAGAGGGGCAGTGAAAGTGAAAGGGGGGGGCGGTGTTTCTTGAACTTCAAACGATCAAATTTCATTTGGTGCCACGGTTGGGTCGGTTCTTATTTCATCGGCCCCAGTACGCCCATGGCGCACTCCAAGCAGCAGCACGGCTCATTCCGGCACCAAGCAGCCGCATTAGCCCAGGTGGCAGCTGCCCAGGTGGCGGCTAATCAGAACGCGGGTGGCGTCCGCACGAGGAGACGTTCCACACGCCCTGCCCAGATGCCATGTGTACTTAGGTAAACATTTACTGAACACCAGCTGGCGTCTAATTAAGTCACCGTTAACGGGAGTCCCGGGGTCCGATTACCAGCACAAGCCTTGCCAATGAGCATGACATTAGGACGCTGTATGTGACGCTTTCCTTTGAAGCTCCCCTTATTGTTAGCTGGAGGGGTGAAACTGGGTCAGGAACAGTGTAATGGGCAGCGGCCTCCGCCCTCAGGATTCCCCTGAAGCTGGCGCTGTGCTGGAGGGATACTGCTTTACCTCTGGGCATCATGAAGTTAGCGCTGTGGCAGGTGGACCCAGGATTTCTCTGCAGCTCTCAGGGGAATGGCTGTAATACAGGGATTCTGTGCTAAGCCACACAGCTCTGCATCCCAAACCTTCCTCCAGACAGCAAGCAAGGAGCCCTCTGCCTGAAGACACGAGCCAGGTCTCAGCATCGTCTCTCCCTGCCTTCCGAGAGCTGTCTCCGTGCATCCCATAGACAGAGGCTCCCCTGGAGTCTGCCACACTGCAGGTTGCACCCCTGGCCCTATGGCCTGTCCTAACCAAGGAAGGGCAAATCCCGCAAGGGCCGAGCTGACTGTCCACCCGCAGCTCGAGACGAACCTCTCTCCGGGTTTGAAAACATTCGCTTCACTTTCGGCTCTGTCTTGCTTTCACGGCTCCCTCTGCACTTCCCGGAGCCGAGGGGCCTAAGCACCAGCTGAGCCAGACGCCACCTGGAAATCCCACGAGGAAGGCAACTGCAGAGCAACGAGGGCTTGATACTTCCCAGGAGGTCGGAGAAGTCTCCAAAGCCCAGAACTCCCTGAGATTCCCCCGGGAACCATCACCAAGACTTGTCAGTCTGGCCTTCTGAAGAGCTGCTGTTAGGGAACGTTAGGGGCCCAGTTCTCTCCTCAGTCCCTGAGCAGACTGACGTGGTGCAGACGCAGCTCTGAGCAAACGGGTGGGTCCAGTTGCATTGACACCTGGGGGGGGCGGCACCTCTCTTAGAGCAGCATTAAGCAGGCTGCTGCCTCTACAGCTCCGTAGGCAATCTGGGCATGTCGCTCGGTCGCTCCAGTTCTTCTCCCCGTTAATAACAGAGTTATTAGAGGAAGCGCTGGAGGACTCGGATGAAGGGAGGGTGGGTGCATGGCTCACACTGGGTCCTAGAACACTCATCTGCAGACCCGGGGGATGGGCAGGCCTGCATGCCTGCAGCTGGTGCTGAGCGTGGTCTGGTCTCCAGCCCTGCAAGAAGAATGCAGCCCACCTGTGTCCTGACAGCTGCACTAGGGGCTGTGCATCAGGCTGCCCCGGGGACGATTCATTGGCACAGCCTCCTCTTTCTGAATGAGCTCAATGCAGGGCCTGTGAAAGGGGCCAGACACAGAATCCTGCCGGGCCCCCAGGACCCAATGACCCGAGAGGTCTTCTACATCTCGGACGCCCGTGGGGCTGATGTCCTCTGGCTGTGCCTGCAGCAAGCACACAGCTCAGGTGGTGACAGAGCCTGTTCCCCGACCCCCATAGCTCCTTAGCCCTGCCCTCTGGTGAGGTCCCTAAGCCCCTGGCCCATTCAGCTGGCATCTCTGCAGTGCCCAGGGGGGAGGTGGGTATTAGGAGGCATTAGGAGGTGGGTATTCATCCACGAAGACAAGAAGCTGTGAACAGCCACGGCACTGCATCGCATAGGCTCAGCCGGTTGTGGCCCCGGCACAGAGTGCGTCCTAAATCAAAGCACGGAGAGTGGGCAGCGCAGTGCTTTAAAGATCAGGGCGAAATCATTGTGGCAGGTCAGGGCCCCTTTGCGCTGGGTGCTGCACACGCAGGACGAGGAGCCCTGTCCCCCCCCGAATTAAGCATCGTTATCTCCAGAATTAAGCATCATTATCCCCAGAAAATGGAGTGACTCCCCCAAGGAGCCTGTGACTGGGCTAGAACTGACCCCAGATCTCCTGCATCCCAGCCCAGAGCTGTAGCCACACCTTCCTCCCTGTGTCTAACCCATTGTGAGACAGTCTCATGGGCAGCTGGTCCGGCTGTATCAGGAGAGATTCTGTTTCATGCGTGTTCAGTCTAAAAAGCCCTGTGCCTTTAAACAGAGGCCATCTTTTGCTAATAGGCCATCAGACGAGGTATCTGCCATTCCCTCAGCTCAGTGGTTTGGGCTTAGCCTGCGTAATTGTTTCCTGGGTATGCCCAGAAGCCAGAAGCTGGGACAGATGCATATGGGGCAGGGGGAGCTGTCTCCGGGGACTCAGTCCCAGGGAGAGTGGAGTAAATCCCACGTCAATTTCTGCTCATTAAAGCTGCAGGGCGATAGCTGCTCCAAGCGCGCGGGGAACCGCTCTGACGCTGATGGAAAACGCCTGCTGTCATAACTATAAAGGGAAGGGTAACAGCTCTCTGTGTACAGAGAC